GCCGGGAGGTCGCGGACGTCCGCAGGGCCCAGAGTGCGATCGCTCCAGTCCCGGTGCCGGTGGACCTGAGCGCCTTTGCCGAGGGCGGCGAAGGCGAGGGCGGGGTTGATGGCAAGGGCAAGGCCAAGGGCGACGGCAAAGGCAAGGGCAGGAGCGACGGCAGGGGGAAGACCAAGTCCGACGGCAGGAGCAAGACCGGCGGAGTCAAGGGCCAGGGGCAGAGCCCCGGGCCTCTCTGCGGGGGCTGCGGCGGCCGAGGCCGCGCCCGGCGCGAGTGCCCATGCAAGAACAGGGGCGCGCTGGCGAGCACGGGGCAGACCATGTCGCGCCTGAATCAGCAGTCTCGGCTTGGAGTCGACTCTGGCGCGACCGGGCCAGCTCCATCAGTTCCCTTGTCAGCTACCTCGACCTCGACAGCTGCGACCGCGAGGGTGGGGGCGTCTGTCTCGGCAGGATTGCAGCGTTCTACCTCGATGGCGACAGCGAGCAGGTCGGCCGCCCGTTCGCGCACCTCTCCTTCACCTTGAACGACCCGGGGCTTGCGTTGGCGGACGGCGTCGACTCCGTGACCGGCGCGGTCTTGGGCGGAACGTGGTCCGCGGCGGCGAGGGTGCGGGGGAAGTCGAGCTCGACGGCGTCTTGCGTGTGGGCGTCGACTCGTTCGCGGTGGCCTCCGTGCTGCCGCGTGTCTCGCGTGCGGGCTACCCAGGGCGCGGGGGCCTTGGTGGGGCGATCACCTACCTACAAGACCGCCTCTGGCCTCTGCGTGGCCGCCGAGGGCGAGAGGCTCCTCGGGGGGAAGATGCCCGCCAGGGCCTCCCGAGGGTGAGGCCAGCCAGCTAGGCCCTGTCCACCAGGAGGTCGCTGAGGGCCCCCCGGTGCGACCGGCGAGGGGGCCCGCGGCCCCGACGGTGGCTGAGCGAGCCGCGCATGGCGTGCTGCATGAGCCTTGCAGGGCATCGTGCCGGGAGTGCGTCCTCGGCGGGGGCCAGTCAGCGGGCCGCCGCGCTGCGGACCGCCTAGAGGCTGCTCTCGCGGTGATCGGCATCGACTACGGCGACTTCGGTGCAGGTGAGGACGGGGCCACGAAGCAGCGCTGGTTCCGCGCGCCCGTGGTGCTGGCCAAGGGGGTGCAGCATCCTTGGCCGGAGAAGTCGTGGTCGCAGAGGCTGGTGTTCGCTGGCCACAAGCGCTTCGCCTTCCGTTCGGATGGCGAGGCGTTTCTCGTCGCCTTGAAGACTCGTGTCGAGGAGGCGGTCCCCGAGGAGACTGCGTCTGGCGACTCCCGGGGCAACGGCCTCGCCGAGCACGCCGCGCGCGAGGTGAATGCCGAGGTCAGGGCCGTGAGGGCGCAGGTCCGGCGTCGATCGCCTGGCGGCCCCGTGGATGGTCGAGCGCGCGGCGATGTCGATCAACCCGGGCAGGCGCGGTGCTGATGGTCGGACCGCGTGGGGGCTCAGGCACGGCCGGGCCTTCGGCAAGGACCTCGCCTGCTTCTCGGAGAAGGTGCTGTGCCTCCCAGGGGGAAGCGGGAGGCCGGCGTCGAGGGTGATTTTCTCTCTAGGCTCCACCTCGCGAGTCCACGCTGCGCGCCGGCGAGGTCTATTCCGGCGCGGAGTTCGGCGTGCTTCGCGCCCGGACCTTCATGCGGCTTCCGATCGACTTGCGCGGCGACAAGGACATGCTGCTGAACGGTCTCGTGGGAAGCCGTGGGCGCCGGTTCCGGCGGATGCGGCGAGAGACGAGGTGCCAGTGGCCATCGAGATCCGTGTGCCAGTGCCGGTCGTGCAGGCTGGCGCTCCAGTGCCGCTGGTCGTGCTGGCCGACGCTCTAGCGCCGCCGGCCCCCGTGGGAGTGGACCTCCCACCTCGGGCCCCGCGAGGCGCGCGGCCGAGTGCCCGGCCGCGAGCCGTCTACATCAGGAAGGACGTTGAGATCGCGACGTACGGGGCCACCCCTGGCTGCCGCGGCTCTGCCGCGATCCACTGCGGTGCCCGGGCGCGGGCTCACTCTGCCGAGTGCCGCGCTCGGATTGAGCGGGCGATGCTCGGGGGCGACGAGGTGAGACGGAGACTCGGGGGGGCTCGCGATCGGAAGCGACAGCGTGGAGATGGCGGAGGGGGCGGTTCGTCGGGCAGCGGTGGGCAAGCGTCGGTGGCGCCTGCGCCGGAGGCCGCGCCAGCCGCGGCGCGCGCGGATTTTCCAAGTGCAGCTTGGGATGGCGTCGGACGCGAAGTCACTGATCGCGCCTGGCGCGAGCCTGAAGCTGACGCCTGAGGTCGAGCGCGAGCTGCCCGAGGCTGAGGCGGCCGAGTACCGCAGTGCGTGCATGAGGTTGGGCTACCTCGCTCTCGGCCGCCCAGAGCTGCAATTCGCCGCGGGGAAGCGCGCCCGCGCCATGCAGGGGCCGACGGGGCGCCGCCGCAGGCTCCCGAAGCGCGCAGGGCGCTTCCTCGTGGGAGCGCCGCGCGCTGTGTGGAGGTGGGGCCGCCAGAGGGCGCCTGCATTCCTGGGCGTCTATTCAGGCGCGGATTGGCGGATTGGGCTGGTTGCCCGATCGCCGAGGGGG